GAAGAGTCCGGCTTCGGTGCACACATTGCGCAGATCGGCGCCATTGAAACCATCGCTCAGCTTCACGACCGCCTCCCAGTCGACCTCTCCGTGTTTGGCGATGGGCTGGGCGTGTATTTTGAGCACTTCCAGCCTTCCCTGTTCGTTGGGCAGTGGGATCTCGATCTTACGGTCCAGACGGCCCGGCCGTAGTAGCGCCGGGTCCAGCGTATCGGGTCTATTGGTGGCCATAATCATCTTCACCTGTCCGAGTGAGTCAAAGCCGTCCATTTGGTTCAACAGTTCCATTAGTGTCCGTTGGATCTCGCGGTCAGCGCTCGTGCCTTCGGAGAAACGGCGGCCACCGATGGCGTCGATCTCATCCATGAAGATAACGCACGGCTGATGATCGCGAGCGTAGTTAAACATCTCGCGTATGAGTCGCGCCGATTCGCCGATATATTTGTCCACAATTGCCGACGAAACCACTTTCAAGAAGTTGGCCTCCAATTGCGAGGCCACGGCTCTGGCCAATAGGGTTTTGCCGGTTCCGGGCGGACCGTAGAGGAGACAACCCTTCGGTGGAGTGATGCCCACCCGAGCGAACAGCTCCGGGTTAAGCAGCGGTAATTCAATCACTTCCCGGAGTTCGCGGATCTGTTCGCCGAGACCACCGATGGATGAGTAGTTCACGTCTCCCGGGTCTTCGTGCGACATGTTGTACACCAACGGATCCACTTCTCGCGGCAGATAACGCATTATAGTTAGAGTAGTCATGTCTAGTGCCACACGAGTGCCGGCTTTGAGTTTGCTTTTGTCGAGTTGTCGCCGACAGCCGACCACATATCGCGGTCCGTTCGTCGCCTTCACTATGAAGTTATCGTCGGTCAGCTGTTTGAGGACTTCGCCGACGATCTGTCCCACGGATTGCAGCGCTTTCAAGTCGTTCTCACTCTTCTCGTACTGTTTGTTCACTTCTTTCAACGATTCCCTGACTGTCATCGAGAGTCAAGAGATATTAGTAGACAATCAAATGGTGGCCGCGAGTGATGAAGACATACCCTCTTTGAGTCGGTGGTCGATCTCGCGGTGTTCGACCAGTTTCTTGCGG